AGTGAGTTTCAGAGCAGTGAGAGTTTCAGGGCGATGAGTTTCATAGCATTCAGCCTGTGAGAATTTCGGGGCATCCCCCTTCTCCTCCTCCTTGCCCGCCTTCTCTCCCCCTCCCCCCCCCCCCCTCCTCCTCTCCCTCCTTGTCGTCGTCGGCGTTGTCGTCGGCGGCGGCGGCGGGGAATGATAATGAGTTCCCGTTGTTGTCGGGCCCCCGGGCCGTCAATGGGGCCGCCGGAAAAATATTTAGCGTTTCCCACTCTTGGCCGCGTGGGCACAGACATCCCAAAATGCGGAGTGCGCGCCAGAGCTTGGGACCCAAGGCAACCTTGCGTGGCGGGGCGATCGAAGCCGACCCAGATCGCTGAGGTGCGGGTTAGACGCCATGATGGCGCCCGTGCTACGCGGCATGCGAAGCCGCGCGTGGCGGCCCGTAGCATGCCAGATGGGTCTGAACGTCCCCGGTCTTGACCGCTTGCCATGGGCGGCGGGCGCCCTTCGGGCCCCCCCGAGGTCGCCCGCGATGGAGCCCGCGCCGAGCTTTCTGAGAGCCTGGGCCTCTGGGGGCGCAGCCGCCGCCTCATCGAAAGGCCCCGTGACATTCCGCGCAGTGTCGGACAGCTCAGTGGCTGTTCGATTGGCAGCCCCGCGCGCCGCGTCGCCTCGGGCGCCGCCTCGCCCCTTCGACGTCGGGGGCCCCGCCGGTGTCGCGGCGGCCCGTCATGCCGAGATCGGCGTCGGCCCTAGCAACTGCCGAGGCGGGGGCATGGGGCGCGTCAGCTCTCGCCGACGCAACGGCGCTTTGCGCGTCGGCCTTCGCCGACGCAGCAGCATGCGGGGGGCGCCTTCACTTCGGTGGGGCAGGAATAGACGCGCAAATTTTCGCCGACGCAGCGTTGGAATGTAGCGACGGGCCGGCTAAGCTTTTGCCCAAACCTCCTTCCCTTCATGGGCGCAGGGGGCCCTCGGGGCGGGTGCTCTGGCAATTTTGGCGGTGCGCAGCGAGACCATGCCGGGGAAATAATTATTGCCCCCCCGTGCGGCGCGCAAGAAGCACGAAGGTGGAATGGCCGTCGACGTCGCGGCGGCCCCCTGCAACCCGCGCGAGAGGTCATGACCTGCAGCGCTGGCCTTCTGGACGTCGACGCAAATGCGTGCTGGAGACGACAATTCATTAGCGGTAGCTTCAGGCTATGATGCGGGCCATTCACGGCTCCCGGCAGGTTTTCCGAACAGGAAGTCGCCCGCCGCTCCGGGGATGAGCCGCCTTTGCAACATGCTTGAGAGGTGCTCAAGCTCGGTTCCGCGCCATGCCAAGGGCGCGCTGAAGACGCCCCCCACCTGCATCCTTCGGCTTTGAACGAACTTTCGTCCGCAAGGTCGTTCACCGAATGCACGCATGTCCATCGGAAGGCGATGCTGTTCTCCCCGGAACGTAAGCGGTGGCAACCGAAAAAATGGGGGGTCGCGTCAGGTTTCACCGCCGCAGAACCCTTCGTTGGTTTGTGGTTCCCGATGCTGCACTCGCCGTCCAAGGGCATGCGTGGTTCTCGCGCAGGAGCGGTCCTCTCGTAGAGGAGCGTTTCGAACCGGGCCTTCGTGACCGATGTGGTGAGAGTAATATCTCCAATGGCCTACCGAAACCGCTCAAAAATGATGCGAGGCCACGCATTAACCCATTGGGCAGCTCGCTTGAGTTATAATATTTGTTTCTCTCATTGTCCCCCCGCCTTTTTTTCGTAAAGCCTGCGCGCCTCAGACCGCAGCCGCACAGGGATGGCGAGGTCCCCTGGTGGTCTGAATAAGATCGCTTCGCTGGACCCCCCAGCAGCACTCGAAAAAGCGACAGCTTCGCGGATCGCAGCCCCACAGGGATGACCAAGTTTCCTGGTGGTCTGGGTAAGACGTCACTCCGCTGCACCCCCCGGCAGCCCTCGGAAGTGGCGACAGACTCTGCGATCGCACCCCCGCAAGGATGGCGAGATCTCCTGGTGGTCAGGGTAAGACGTCGCTCCGCTGGACCCCCCCAGCAACCGTCGAATATGACGACAATGTCGCAGATCACGGCCCCCCCAGGGATAGCTAGGCAAGAGGCAAGCTGGCACGCAGGAGGGAGCGAGGTGAGAGGCAGGAGAGAAGAGGAAGGGAGAAGGGGGCAGGAGAAGGAGAAGACGCGCGGGCAGTGTTCTAATCAAGGCGAGTATCCAACTCAAGGGGGGGTGGGAAAAACTGCCTCCAGATGCCCCAAGACGCGTCCCATGAGACCCCATCAGCCATCCGGGCCCCATACCCGCAACCCAAGAGCCCCCAAAGATCACCCAGAGATCGCCCAAGAGGCCTCCAAGATGGCCCCAGAACGGCCCAAGAGACCCCTAAGACGGCCCCAAGAGGCTCCCAAGACGGCCCAGGAGGCTTTTAAAGCCCCAAGATGGCCTCCAAGACGGCCCTGGAGCATTCCAAGAGGGGCCCAAGTCGGCCCAGAGAGGCTCCCCAAACGGCTTCCGACGGCGTCGGACGGGCCAGGAACCCACCAAAACGGCCGAAGATGGCCCTAGGATGGCCTAAGACGGCCCAAGAAGCCTCCAAGAGGGCCTCCAGGAAGGCCCGAAAATGTCTACATCATTGATTTGCCATGAGTTTTTGAAGGATTGTGGCATTTCCTTTTTTTCGGCAAAAGAACTCCCCATGGGGCTCCGGCGCGTCCCGCCGGGGTCCCGGGAGGATTGCCCAGAGGTGGTTGCAAATGTGTTTTCCCTCCAGACGGCTCCAAGACGGCCCAAGATGGCCTCCAAGATGCATCCAAGACGGCCAAGATGGCTTCCAAGACGGCTCAGATGGCCCCAAGATGCCTCCAAAATGGCCCAACATACCTCCAAGACGGCCTCAGATAGCCTCAAGATGGTTCAAGACGGCCCATAGGCACCCAAGAGCCCCCCAAGACGCCTCCAAGAGGTCCTCAAAGAGAGCCCGAAGAGGCCAAAATCATTTGTTTTCCTTAGGTGTTTGAAGAACTTTGGCATTTGCTTCTTTTCGGCCTTCCGAAGACCTCAAGGCTGCCCAAGAGGCCCTCAAGATCTCCCCAAAATCGCTCACGAGGCCTCCAAGATGGCCCCTTGACGGCCCAAGGAGCCCCCAAGAAGGCCTCAAGAGGGCCCCACGACGGCCCAAGAGGCCTCCAAGACGCAAGACGGACCCGAAGCGCCCCAAGAGGGCCCCAAGTCGGTTCAGAGAGGCCCCCAAGACGGCTTCCGACGGCGTCAGACGGGCCAGGAACGCCATAAGACGGGCCCCAAAAGGCCCTCAACAGGCCCCAAGAGAGCCCAAGATAGCCCCAACATGGCCTCCAAGACGGTCCCAAGATGGTCCAATCGACCCCAAGAGTGCCTCAAGAGGCTCCGAAGAGGCATCCTCCCCCTTCTTCTTTTTCCTCCTTCTCCTCCTCCTCCCCTTCCTCCCCCCGCGTTCCCCGAAACCTTTCCAAACCGACTCGGGGAACACATGGTCCGATAGCTTGGCCAAACTCTAGCCGAGCTGTCGGACACATAGGCGCTTCCACAAAGACAGGGAGCGGCGGTGATTCGCCGTAGGCGTCTTCGATCATTCGTCGGGTGTTTCGACATATGCCCTCCGTCTGTATACGTGGGTTCTTGCCACATGCCCCATGCGTGCACGGCGAATACTGAGAATTTCTGCCCAAGAGGCCCCCAAGAGGCCCCCAAGAGGCACCCAAGAAGTCCCAAAAGAGCTCCACGAAACCCCCACCAAACGCACAAGAGGCCCTCAAGCGCAACACGCAACAACCGCCGGTTCCCAAAAGGGTCGTCTGTGTCGCGTAAGCACAAGAATCTTGCCGAAAACATGTATCGAAGCAGAACGCCCGACTAGCACGATGGGAATGCTCCGTCGTAGTTCTCGCAATGCCCCTGTCGCGCGTCAATCGCGGGGAGCCCGTACAACAACGACAACATACATGAATATGGCCCCCCAGTCCGCGAGAACAACCTCGTGCTACGAACGTTCGCGCAATGCGTACTTTCGGATGGGCGTGCCACAATCTCTGGACCCGAGATGCAAGGATTGTGAGAATGCAGGGCGGCCACACTTTATGAACGAGGTGCACCTGGAACGGTGAGAATATGATTGCCCTGCCACGCCTGTTGGACGCGGGAGACCTGGACTGCTGAGAATCCCGATGCCATGCCACACTTTCTGGAACGCGGGAGGTCTCGGGGCGTGGCTTGGGGTATCGGGCCGTGTCTGAGTTGTGTCTGGGGTTGTGCCTGGTGACGTGCCCGGGAATGCGTATGGGGACGTGTCTGAGGGCACGTCTGAAGGCGTGCGAGGGGCCGTCTACGTTGCCGTGTCTCGGAGCCTGTCTGGGTTTGTGCTTAGTGACGTACCAAAACCCGTGTCTGGGGGCATGTCATGGGGCGGATCTGAAGTCGTGCTTGAGGGTGTGTCAAGGAAAATGCCTGCAAACATGTCAGGGGGCGTGCCTAGGGCCGGATCTGGGAACGTGCCTGGGCCTGGAAACGTCTTTGAGGACGTATCTAAAGACGCGTACCGTTCTTGAGCGGGCACGTACGGGATGCACCTGGGACAGTTCTCGGACCCACCATTGTCGGGACTTTGGGCGCACAATCCTCGAGCGGGCGCGCACAGGATGCGATGCACTTGTCCGAGCCAGGTTCCAAAACGGGAGCTGGAGGCTTGAGACCCCCGACGAAGAGATCATGTGGAGACAAACCTTGACTTCGATTCTCTAACTCTCAGAGAAACGCTACTCGGGAGCATGCGCCACCCAAGAAACGTTGAGCTAAATCTACATCAGATGTTTCCCTGGAGATGCCGAAGGAGGCCTGAACCGTTTCGGTGGTCTCTGAGACTGGCATCTTTGCGCAAATCGATAGCCATAGGCACGGCGGATCAGGAGCCTCGGTGGGAGCCAAAACCTGGGGCAACTCAGTCGGGCGTTCCCCAACTTCCGATCTCGCCGATGTCGCCTTGAAGGCATCAGCGGGCACCTCCATCGCCGAGGAAGATAGCGACGCAGCGCTGCCATGGCAGAGCACGGGTGTGACTGCCCTCTCGGGTGTCAGAGCACCCAAGCGCCTCTGCATCAGCGACTCTATCGAGGCGGCGCGGCCTGGCGGACTGCAAGCCTTCGCGAAGCGCACGACAGGGCCCCGGTGCAACCGCCACCCGAAGCGCATGGCGCAAGTGGCACGGCCCTCGCCACGGCACGTCAAGTGCAGCCGCATGTGTCCAGATGAGCCGCTGCTGTCTTCGAGAACCTCCACGGAGGCGTTCGCCGGGCCGTCGCCGCAGTCCACAGTGGTGGCGTCGGGGGGCCCCAGGCCGCGACGCAGGCTGTCCCAATAGACGGTCGCCGTCGCGTTTTGCGGGCCCAGCTCGGGCAAGTCCTTGAGCACGGTCCCCTCACTGACGATGTCGGGCAAGGCGTCACCGTCCTCGAGCGGGTGCGTGGATACGTCGACGCCGTCCAGGGCCGTCCAGCCGCACTGCTTCACGAAAGCGATGACTGCTGGGCGGTGCGGCTGATACAGCGGGAGCGGAGCGATCTGTACCTCGACGAGTGCAGTCCCGACCTCGACGCACTCCAGCTCCACGGCGATCTTGGTGCCCGCTGCGCCCGCTGGCACGCTGCCCAACGGCTGCTGGCCACCACTGGCGAGCGCACCGGCGAAGGCGACCCGGAGCACGCTCTGCGCGGAGGCGGCGCCGTCCTGTGGCAGGCCCCAGGAGCCCAGCGACTGCGCGTGCGTCTCCTGTGGCAGGAGCTACCAGCTACCCACAGGGAAAGCGCGCCAGGGACTGACAGCTTCTCTGCCTGGCTCCCCTGGTTCCAGCGAAGTGCGGCCTAGGGTCTTCGACTACATTTTTGATTCGGGGTATTCCGCGCGGCGTCCATTTTCGACGGTCCTCGAATCGGAAACTTGTTCCCTAAGGCCCGAACAGTCGCCCGAGTATATTTTGCTACAAACTGTGACAATCCGGGGTCGGGAGGTATAAATCAAGCTTGCTCCCAGTCTACGCCCGTTACACGGGACTCTTCCTACGAGAGACGGGACTCTGCGCCCAGCGGCTAGGAAAGTCTATCCCTGTTTTGTTCTCGGAAGCCTGGCGATCCAACGTCCAGGGCACCATCTCTGAGTAACTAGCGCGGTAGGATCCTTCGCAACTGCTGAAACTTCGACAGGACAGGGTCATGCCAGTTCTTACCAGCATGGGGGAGGGAAGCGCATCCCCCAGAGAAAGGGCAAGGTCGGTGGCTTGTCATTTCTTGGGGCTCTCTTGGGTTCCTCCCTTTCTTTCTGTCGCTGTCTCTGTCTGTCTCTCTCGGTTTTTGTTGTTGTTATTCTCTCTCTCTCTATTTTCAATTGTGTCCTCTCTATGTCTCTCTCACTCACACTCTCTCTTTTTCTCATGTCAGGCCCCGTCTCTCGTTTTCTTTCTCTCCTTTTTGTGTTCCCAACCCTCCTTGGTTGGGTGTTCGTTTTGAATAGAGCACTGTGGTCGCGTCCCTCCTCCTCCTCCTCCTCCTCCTCCTCCTCCTCCCGCCTCCCGCCTCCTCCTGCCCTCTGTTCGCCAACGATGGGGGCTGCGATCTGCGAAACTGTCGCCACTTTCGAGGGCTGCTGGTGGGTCCAGCGGAGTGAAGCACCGCGCAGATCTGAGCAAGACCTCGCCGTGCCTGGGGGGCTGCGATCTGCGAAACTGTAGCCACTTTCGAGGGCTGCTGGTGGGTCCAGCGGAGTGAGGCGCCGCGCAAATCTGAGCAAGACCTCGCCGTGCCTGGGGGGCTGCGATCTGCGAAACTGTCGCCGCTTTCGAGGGTTGCTGGTGGGTCCAGCGGTGCGAGGCACCGCGCAAATCTCAGCAAGACCTCGCCGTGTCTGGGGGGCTGCGATCTGCGACACTGTCGCCACTTTCGAGGGCTGCTGGTGGGTCCAGCGGAGTGAGGCACCGCGCAGATCTGAGCAAGACCTCGCCGTGCCTGGGGGGCTGCGATCTGCAAAACTGTCGCCATTTTCGGGGGCTGCTGGTGGGTCCAGCGGAATGAGGCGCCGCGCAGATCTGAGCAAAACCTCGCCGTGCCTGGGGGGCTGCGATCTGCGAAACTGTCGCCGCTTTCGAGGGTTGCTGGTGGGTGCAGCGGAGCGAGGCACCAGGCAAATCTGAGCGAGACATCGCGATCCTTGTGGGGCTTCGAGCCTCACGAACGCCGCTCGCAGAAGTATAGGCGCCCATGTCACGTCATCACCTCCGTATAACGTCTCCCAAGCTACTCATGCCCAGCATTGCGCAGGGGTTGGGTACGTCGCCAGGTTTTTTTTTTTGTTTGTTCTCTCTCTCTCTCTCTCTCTCTCTCTCTCTCTCTCTCTCTCTCAAGGGTGAGCGCCGCTGGTCGCGAATGACCGTTGGTCGGAGCGTTCAGCGGGGCGCCAGATGCACGACGGAGCGGGCGAATTCGGGGTCGCCCGCCTCGGCGTAACACCAAGAGGCGGGCTGCGCCTTCTTCGCCTCGTGCTTAGCACAGGTTCGAAGTGCTCCATAACCAAAAACGAGGCAACCGACTCTGGCACATCTCTGCCGAAACTGCCCAGCGCCCCCCCCCGGCCCCACGGACGTGCCCTATGGGGTTTCTGTTCCTGGGGCCCTCGTCAGGATACCTGAAGCATTTGCTAGACTCATGGTAACTTTGCGCAAATCTCCTGAGTGCCCAGGCGAAGGACCCAACCATATGCAGAGGGAGACCCCGGTGTCCGAAGTGTCGGGCTGGTCGAAAACACCCGTGTAGCCGCTCTGGTCCACTTGGCGCCTGGACGCATCAGCCGCGCCCATGTCTTGTCCCTTGCCACCCTCGGCCTTCCCCTTCCCCTTGCTTGGCGAAGAGTGCCGCTGATGCTTTTGGAGCTTTGAAGCCACCCGTTTTCAAGGATGGTGCACTGGAGTTGGTAGCCGATGACCACCCGAACGGTAACGCCTTCTTTCATGGCCGGTATCAGGGCGTAAATGATGTCCACCGCCTGCGCCGCTTCCAGGAGGTTGGCGTATCCGGCGTGGATCTTCCCCAAGGGCGGGTTGTCCACCAGGAGAAACCGATGTCGTTCCGTGGTAGGTTGCTTGCCAGGGTCCATGTTCTTCAGTGCCTCGCGGAGGTCATCGATGCCTGCACGAGAAGCCTTGGCCAGCCTCGCCAGCTCCCTCTCGTCCCAGGGCAGGATGGGGCGCCAGGGGGTGCCAGAGACGAGTGGTCTCTGGGCGAGCGGATCGTCTAGCCCGGACTTCGTGGCACTGTTGTAGAAGACCCAGCTGGGCCGCGCCAGGATTTGGGGATGCATGCGGTAGCACGCACTTAGCTGCAGGACTGCCGTCTCGTGGTCCCTCAGGGCGTGATATAGTCGATCAAAACATGGACAGACACAGACCTCGTTCCGCTGCCACCTTAGAAATGACTGTTGGCGGGGGCTGCATGGGGTCACCTACCAGTGCCAGGTGCCCTCCTGAGCGGATTGCGCTGTCGAGCGACATCGTGGCAATTGGCTCGTGGGCCTGGCCCGCCTCGTCGATGATGAGCAGGGCGATCTTGGCTGCATTCTTCAAAGCCTCGGCTGATTCGCGCGCGACGACTATAGTCTTGGCCTTCTGGAGCAGGTTGTCGCGGAAAGGGGGGGAATCCTTGGGCGGGGCGCCATTTTCAAAAGGGAACGCGCCCGTGGCCTTCTGGTAGTGCCCGCCAGGTGAAAGCCCAATCGATTCTTTCGCCACCTTGCTGTCTTTGGCCAGGCGGGCGCACAGGTCGGGAAACCCGGCGTCAGGATCAAGTTTGCCAGCTCTGTGTGCGGCCAGGAGCGCCAGGGCGGGCTGGTCGGCCGCTGCGTTGGAGCCCGCGGCGAGAGCCAATGCCTGTCCCGAGAGCAGTGTGCCTGCCCACGTGGCCATCGTGGCGACTGGGAAGATGGTGTTCCCAGTGCCAGGGGGGCCATGCACGATCGTCACGTGGTGGCTAATGGTGGCCAGGAGCGCCTTGGCGGCGTCATCGTTGAGACGGTGCCTCGCTGCACCTCCGTTCAACGTCGTCGTGGATGGCGGGGCTCTTCCTCGCTGAAACACCTGTCCCGTGGCTCCCTCCACCTCTTTATCTGAGAAGGGAAGGGCGCCGAGGTCCATGGTGGGCTGTGCCGGGGCTGTACCTGGGGCCGCTGGCGAGGTCAGGTCCGCAGACGGCACGGGCAATTCTAAGGTCGCTGATGCTCGTGCCAGGAAGTGGTGCCCGCAGTTTACTGTGTTGAGCATCATTCGCGGCTGCCTTGTCTCCTCTGGCCGCTGTCCGGGAGGTGAGCACGTACGTGATGGCTGGCAACGGGGCACCAAAGAGATCCTCAGGCTCTTGCTTCAGCTTGTAGATCTCAGTCAGCGCCGTTACTATTCTCCAGCACTGAATCTCAGAGGGGGCCCTGTCCACTCTGTGCCAGGGGTCACCTTCGCGAGCAGGTCTGGGGATGTCGGTGTCTGCATGGAAAGGCCCGAACTTGGCAGCATTATGCTCGACGATGCACTCGCGGGCTGGGTGCTTGGAGCCAGGCGCGAGCCCAAGCGCATCACAGTCCGCTCAAGGGAGAGAGCCTCCGAGGTCCGGCGGCCACCATAGCGTTGCCGCTGCAATCTTGTCAACGGATGGGCTGGTGATGGAGATGAGGAGGACCCAGGCGTCTTGTCCAGCATCCTGCCCTTTGAGCAGTATCTTGTAGCTTGGGCTCCATTGCAAGAGGAGCAGAACCTGCCCTGTGCCTGGTGTGAGCGACTTTCGAATCCGAAATCGGTCGAGCAGATCCCAGTCCGTGTTGTGGTCCACTGGAGTAACTGCCACGTCGAGGGCGCAGCTGTGCCGTCTCTGAAAGTCCGTCCGAGCCTTGGCGGTGCCATCCCACACTGTCCCCGTTGCGGCCATGCTTTCGGCCCATGCTAGACTTTCGAGCGAACGGCCCCTTTCGCGAAGCTCGTGGGGCCACTGCGGAGGGATAACCACTGCGCCAGGGATGGCCCCCAAAGGAACCGTAGCATGCATGCGGGCACTGCCGAGGCAGCCATGGCGGCGGACACGAGAACCTCCCGCAATGTGCCTGCTGCCGGTGTTGTCTCTTCGTCCATCCTGGCCTGCCGCGTTTCTGTCTGCTGCCATGCAACTGGCTCCCGCGATTGCGCTCTCCCAACTGCGGCGGTGCTGCCGCTCGGGGAGCTGGTGGCCCTCCATGGTGGGGGAATAGCTGTCTTGGCCAGTATGCCGGCGTCCAAATGCTCCAGACCGTCGCCGCCAGGACCACTGTTGTCGGTTACACCCTGGGCCCATGTCCCGCGCCGAGTGCACTGGGGGGGGCGGATCTGTTTGGATTGGGCGGTGCCTGGGGGGCTGACGTAGTTGAAGACGTCGTCCTTGCAGGGGAATGCGACCGGAACCCAGTCCCAGTCCTCTGGGAAGAACCAGTCAGGGAGGGCGACTCGCCCGTCGGTGGTCACGGGTACGGGTGGCTTCCATCCTGGCCAACTCAACCTTGGTATTCTGCACTGGTGCTCAGAGTCCCAATCGGAGCCACTGGTCAGGCCCCAGAGGTTGCCTGGAGCGATGAAAATCCTGGGGTCGGGCCATCCGTCGCCCCACTGCCTATCGCCCTGCCAATGATGCGTCTCCCACAGGAGGTGCTCCTTCCCGTCGCAATGCTGCTGACGCAGCTCGCACCACCAGCACCGTTCGTGGTTGAAAAGAGGCACGCCGAAGCCAGGGGCACTGCCGCGCCAGGAAAGGGAGCTGACCATTGATCGCCAGGGGGCCCTAAGGCCTGCACTTCTCACAAGAAGGGCATCGCGCCAACGGGCCACGATTGCCCTTCGCCATTTTGAAGCCAGGGTGCAGCTGATGGCTGCCGGAGCTGAAGTAGCCAGGGCGCAGCTGATGGCTGCCTTGGAAAGACCTTAGCCGCTAGGGCGAACCGATCGATCATCCCTTGGGGAACGAGGGGGAGGAGGAATGGGATCGGAAGAAGGGTTTCCCAGCAGGGAGGCAGCACGCGCACAGCTGGTGGGGTCGCACAGGTAGACCTCCATATCGTCCTCGCATGGAAAGTGCGCAGGGAGTTTAGTGGGAGTCGGCCCACGCCACGTGAGTACGCGCGGCGGTTTCGCCTGCGCTTCGCAGTCCGTCGGCCCAGAACACACCCGACGTGGCGAGCCGATCTGCAGCTTTGTTGAGGCGGCGCCGGACCGCTTGCCAGGAGAGGACCCATCCTCTGTCCTCGGCTTGACTGAGAGCGTTCTCCATTTGCTGCGCCAAGTGGGGCCTCCTGTACCTAGCCGTGCCAGCGCCGTATCTGATGGCCGCCAGGTTGTCTCCGACGATCCTGGCCGCCCGCAGGGGTCCCCCCAAGTGAGGCAGTAGGGCCAGCCCGGCTCTGCAGCCCGCCACCTCGGCCGTCTGTGCGCTGTCGCTACAGGGGGGCGCGACGATTGCGGAGGCAATTATTCTGGGTGCGCCGATGGCGCGATCGTGGTGCCACAGTGTAGCACCAGCTCCGGAGACCTTGGGGCGCTCGCCAATCCTCCTCGCGCCTCCGTCAAAGGTGACCTCGTGGGGCCATCGTGCGCTGTCCGAGTCCGGAAGGGGCAGCTCCTGACAGTGACCTCGTCGCCAGGTGTCAGGTCAGTATTCGCGCACAGGGTCACGGTGTGTGCGCTACATGCATGACAAAAAGTGGAGGTCCAGGTGGCGGTGGGAGCGTTATCTGTCCTAGGACAGGGGAACCACCCTTGGCCAGGCAGCATCCATCCCGCGCGTGAATGTCTGGCCTGCAGGACGGCCAGGCGGGCACCCTCCCTGACGTTGCAAGCGGCTACTGGTTATCTGCGAGTCTCTCCACCCGCTCGGTTTGCATGCCGGGCCATGTGCGGTCTGGCCGCCCCGCAAAGCATTCTGTCGCGAAGCGTCTAGACTTGGTGGGCTCTCGCCGCGATGCTGAGGCCAAGGTTGCCTGGCTGCCATCGCCGGCGCAGCGTCCGCGCCACCACCTCATGCTGCATGGAGTGTGGCGACGTCTCGTGCCATGGCGGCCGCCGCGCCCCTGCTCTGCTCCTCGGAGTCATGCAGGTAGCCGTGGAACGCCATGCTGCTCCAGCGGCCCCAACGCTTCACGGCCTCGGCGTCGCCCAGCATGCGCCGCAGCGCCGGGGCGCCTCCGATGCGGAGGCTGCGCGACTTGAAGCGCCGCGCCTGGGGGGCAGCCCCTTGGCTGCCGCTGCACGCTGCAGCGCCGCCTGCGGCTGCTCCCTCGTGACCGCCTTCGCACTGCTCCAGCGGAAAAGCTGCTGGCGCCCCTCCGCGCCCTCGACGAAGCGCTCCAGGGCGCGCCCCTTCAGGAACTCCAGCGCCGCCACGGGGCGCGCCTCGGCCTTGGCCCGGTGGTGGTGCACCCTTCAGGCGCCGAGTCTCTCTGGTCGGTTTTCGTCCTCCGGAACGTGACCAACGCCCCCGCTGCCTTGCCCAGCCTGCGCGGGGCCGGGCCGCCATTCTCGTGGCGGAGCGGTGATCTCCTCGGCCTGGCGGAGGTAGAAGAAGCCCGTCGTGAGGGTCGCCCAGAAGACCGCCGCGTCGAAGGCCTCGTCGCCGAGCTTGGCGCCTCTGGCCCCCCTCGGAGGTGCCGGCGCCAGCTCGTCCTTCAGCCGGGCCGTCGTGCGCGGGGCGACGCCGAGCTTGCGCTCCTCCTTCGGGCCTCCCTTCTGCAGCGAAGTCGACGAGGACCGTGATGCGCTTCTTGCCGGCGAGCCGGTCGCCGCCGCCCGCGCGCGCGTGGCCGCCCTGGAACGCGTAGATGGCGCTGAGGAGGGCGCCGTTGCCTTTGCCCAGCCAGCCGAGGTAGCCGGGGAAGCGCGGCAGCTCCTCCTCGTCCTCAGTCACCTGCCGCCTCGTCTCGCCTCAGAGGAGCAGGAAGATGCCGCGCCTGGTGCACTGCCGCGGCCACTTCGACCAGGCCTCGTCGTAGTTGGTGCGCGTGCTGTGGGCCAGTCCGCCTGCGAGCTTGCGATGGACCCGCTCCTGGAGCTCGTTGAGGACCTGGGCGTCCGGCTCTGGGTTTGCGAGCTTCTCGGGGGCGGAGGTCGTGACCGGGCCGTGCTGCAGCGCCTTGCTCTTCCGCGCGGGCTTGGCGACCGCCAGCAGCTCCTGCTTTCCCGGCTTACGCGGGGCGCTTCGGCCCTGGGGGCTGTCGCCTGGTCCCTGCCAGATCGGGCCAGCGCCGAGCGCCAAGGCCCGAGCGTCGACGCCGCCCCAGACACTCCTCGCTGCCGCGATGCCGCCCTGACCCGGGCGGCCCTCCTCGGCGGGGTCGGGGGGCCCCCCCGCGGGCCGCGCGCTCGGGGGCGCGGCGGGCGGGGGCCGCCGCGGGGGCAGCCCTCTCCTCTGGCGCGGGAGCCACTCCTGCATGCCTCTCTCCGCGGCGTCGGCGTCGCGGTCGCTGCAGGCGCACGCGCCCGCGTCCCGGTCGAGGGCCGAGCTGGCCCAAAGAGCCCTGGCCCCTGCGCGCCTGGCGCCCGCGTCCCACGCCGCGACCTTCGCGGGGCGCCCGGCGGCCAGCTCGCCCTGGCAGTCGGACCGCGAGCCGGGCCTCCTCGAGGGCGACGCGCCTCACACCGTGGCCAGGGCCTTTGAAGTCGCGCGTCAGGCGCGGGGGCTGCCCCCCCCAGTCGGGGGGGAGAGTCGGCAGCGGGCCGCCCATAGTGCAGACGACCTCCCTGCCCGCCGCGGTCCACAGGCGGCCGATGCCAACGGGTAGGAGGCGTTCTTCAGCGCGCCGCATCTGCGGGTCGGCCTCGAAGCGATCCATGAGTCCATGAGCGGCCAGACGTCGTGCTGCAGCGCGTTCGGGCGCTGCAGGGTGGGGCCGACCGATGGCGCAACGGGGCGCTTGAGGTCGAGCGTGCCGAGCGTCCGCGCCTGCTGCTCGTCGCCCGCGTGCCTCGCCCCGAGCAGTGCCGAGCGGCGCCGCGCCGCCAGCTCGCCTACCTCTGTCGCGAGCAGGTCGATCCTCGACGTTGACCGGAGCGCCGCCCTCTGTGCTCCGAGCTGCGCGGCCTGCGCAGCCGCTGCGCGCAAGCGCGCTGCCGCCCGTGGAGTCGGGCCCGGGTCGGGGCCGAGCGTCGCCAGCGCGACCCAGGCGGGGCCGTGCTCCGGGGCGGGGTCGACGCCGAGGGGGGCGGCGCGGGCCTGGCCCCCTTGCCGCGCCCGAGCCTTGCAGAAGAAACCCGCGGCGAGGCCCCGCTCGAGGGCGCGGCCCAGGGCGGCGGCCGAGGGTGCCTGCCTGAACCTCCTCCTCAGCCCCGCCTCTCTCAGCTGCGGCGCATCCCGTTCGCCGCCTGGTCCGCCCCCTCGTCGGAAGCGTCCGGGCTCTCCGGGCCCAGGTCGTGCATGCGCGCCGTGACCTCGGCCGTCGCGGCCCGCGATCCGACGTCGGCGGTGGCGTTGTGGTACGTCCTGAAGAAATGCCCAATGGTGGGGAACTTGTGCTTGCACTCGAGGTAGTGAAGGCCAGACCAGCCGTGGGCGCTGAGCCAGTTGGTGAAGACCATGTTGTCGGTGGTTAGCAGCGCAGCGCGATGCGGCCCTCCCATCTGGGCCCCTGCTTGCCGGCCAAGACGACGCATGCCATGGCCTCGCCCAGCGCGATCTCTACCTTTGGGCCATCGACGTCGCCCGTGGCCTCCGCGAGGACCCTCTCGTAGACCCCGAGGTCCTGCCTCGGGTAGACCTTCCCAATCCATTCGGCCCCGAACGCGATGGAGGTCGTAGCATCGGCGGTCACCCAAACGGCCTTCGCTGCCTCTCCTGGTAGCGCCAGCCGTTCGCTGACGCCCAGGAGCGCGCGCGTGGAAGTCGCGGAGCGGGCCGCCCAAAACTCGGGTCTAGCCAGCTGGAGTCGCAGGTGTCCCAGATGTCCTGCCAGGCCGTCTTCTCCTCGCCCGCTTCGACTTTGGGCTTGATGCCTCCGTCGGCGTGCGGGGTGGGGAACACGTCCACCGACCTCAGCTCCGCGGCGAAGGCCAGCATGGCGGCCATCCAGCTCGTCCCCGCCCCCCGCAAGACCTGCACGTCTGCACGTCACGCAGGCGCGCGCCAGCGTAGCCTCGGGGATGGCCACCTGCATCTCCTCCGTCCGGCACTCGAGCCCCCTGGCGATCTTGCGCGTGGAGAAGTACCCCCCCCCAGTTGCTTCTTCTCCCGATTGACCGCGGCCGGGCCCGGCAGGCGCCCGATGGCGCGCTCGGCGAGGGGCCGCGAGATCCATGGGCGCATGCCCAGAGCGGGCTCCACGAACGCCAGGTCGCCCATCAGGATATAAGACTCGAAACGGTAGGAGCCCTCGGTGGATGCGTCAGCCGGTGCGTGTCTGCTGTGCACCGCGGCCGCGCTGTTACCCCAGGGGGCCCGCCCCCCTGGGCCGCCAGCTCAGCTGAAGGTCAGGGCGAGGGAAACGAGCGCCAGGCCCCCTCCAGGCCTCCCTCCGCGCAGCGCCGCGCGTGCTCGACGGCGTCGTCGTCCTCCTCCTGGGCCCGCGCGCTCGCAGGGTCGGCACCTGCAGGCGGCGGTGCGCAGGCGCCTGGGCACCAGGGGAAGTCCGCGGCGAAAGTGCCGACGTCCGCCGGGTCGACACAGAGCAGCTTGAAGGCGTCCGCCACGTCAAGCTTCGAGAGGGGGGTGGGGATCTTGGGGAGCTTAGCTGCAGAACCTCGCGAGCTGCTGGTGGAAAGGCTGCGATGCTGGCGGACGCCACGTCTTGTCCGCCGTCTCGTTGACGCGGCGCTGGTCGTGGATCAGCCTCTTCTCGGGTGCAATCGTGCGGTCGGGGTCTGCTTAGAGACTGCGCCTTCTGGCGGTGACCTGACCTCGCATAGGTCCCTGCGCGTCTTGGGGATGACGAGGACGCGGCCCGCGTGGACGTCCTTCCAGGAGCCCTCGTAGCAGTGGTCGGGCATGTCCGCGGCGCTCAGGTGGGGCTTGCATTCCTCGCGGACTCTGGCGCCGACGTCTCTAGCTGTGACGCCCTGCTGAGCCTGGCCCCGCAGGTGCAGGGGCATGCATGGGTGGAGGCGGCGGCCCAGCTCGGAGTCGAAGGTCCCGGCCAGGCCGTCTAGCCCCAGCACCTTCCGCGCGCCGAAGAGGGCGCGGGCGCTCTCCCCATCCCACCTGCCGCGTCGACGACAGCTTCACCTCTCGCGGCCGCGTCCCTCCAAGCTCCCTCGGCCCCCGAGGGCCGCGCCCTGACGTAGGTGTCGTAGTGCTGGGCCATGCGCGTGACGAGGTCGCGGCGATCGTTGGAGTCGCCCGCTCGCGGTTCCTCTTGCGTCTCCTCTTGTGCCGCGCCCCCTTGCTGCTGGATGTGGTCGTCAGAGAAAGCAAGGGGGGGCCTCTTCACCGCCAACTAGCGGCGCCAGCTGAAGGCTGGGGGTCGCCGCTGTCCGATTCTGGTGCTCCGCCTCGTCCTCCGCGATGGAGCGGTCGCGTGGCGGCGGGGCTGCAAGGCCCCTCCAGCATCGGCGCCCTCTCTGCCCGCCCCGCCGGCAGCGGCCCGAGGGCCCGCGGCACTCGGGGGGCGCGCGGCCACCGCAGAAGACAAGTCCACCACTGCACCAGCATCGGCAGCCCCAGTCGGCGCACCCCTCGCACGTTTCGTGGCTCCATGGGGTGCTTTACCGAACGCCGCCGTGGCAGGGTCCGCATGCAGTTCCACCCCTGTCTAGGCGCACCCCGAGCACGTTCCGCGGCGCCAGAGGGTGCTCCACCGACGGCTCCAGTGGCAGCGTCCGCATGGCGTGCCCGTGCCAATTTGGCACACCCGTCACACGCGTCGTGACCCCAGAGAGGTTCACCGAGGTCGATACCCACAAGTGCGTTACTCACAACTGCACATGGTTGGGCCCTTCGCCAGGATAGCTATATGTTTTTTGGGAACTCGATTTTCACACCCTTCCAACACCGAGGGTTTTTGCAGGATTTCGGCATGCGCGCGCGACGACGCGTGCGTGTGCACGTCGTTTCGTGTTTTTTTTTGCGCGCGCATTATATTTTGTGCAAAAGGATGGCGGGGGGGTCGATACTGGCTCGGCTGGGATGGTACGAGTTCATATTTAGGATGGGCGAGGGGGCAGAATCATATGTACATTGCAATACGAAAAAATCGCTAAAGCGGGGGTGGTGGTGGATCCTTATTCTTTTTCTACAGCGGAAAAAATAGTGTAATCTGTGTGGTGCAACTTGTGGGGAGCCATACACGTGGTGCAATATGGGTGGTGCAATCTATGTTGTGGAGTTAATTTCTGTTCGCAATAAATTGTCCACTCCACTGCTCGCGCAAACATCCCACCCACCCGCCCGCAACTTGGTTTGCAAAATCTCTTAAGACCGTGACGGTGGGTACCAAATGGCACTTGGCAACGACAGCGACGCCGACAACGACAGCGACAACGACGACGACGACGCCGCCGACAACGACTACGACGACACCGACGACGTCTCCAACGACTGTGCCCGGCAATTTACGTCATGCGTGCATCAATCCACGAGATGCAATAGATATGGTGCAATCTATGTTGTGCAATTCGTGTGGCGCATTCGCTGCAATGCAATATAATTGTGGTAGCGCCGAGGAGGCGTCGGGGCGGCGACAACGGCAATATAGCCGCCAGACCGCCACACCAGCACAGATGGCGGGCGGCGACAAGGCGGCGATAGGGCGGCGACGGCGGCAACATAGCCGCCAGACCACCACACTGGCCCAGACGACGTGCGGCGACGAGGCGGCGACGGCGGCAACATAGCCGCCAGACCGCCACACCGTCACACTAGCCCAAACGACGGGCGGCGACGAGGCGGCGACGGGGCGGCGACGACGGCAACATAGCCTCAGGACCGGCACCGTCCGGGAAATATACATTTGCCCACCCTCTTTCTCTGCACCATTGTACATGATATGCGTGAGTGTATATACCTATGTACAGTCTGCCAAAATCACCAGCTCATCCTCTCACTGTCGCATGACTTAACCATATAATTATATCAGTTGTTTCGCTCTCTCTCTCTCTCTCTTCCTCTCCCCCTCTCTCTCTCGCACTCTCCGCATACTTACTCTCTCTCTCTCTCTCGCTGCTGTTCCCAATCATCCTGTGGTGTTGGGTCGTCGTTTTGAACCAGCAGCGCCCCGCGTGTTCTCCTCCGCCTCCTCTTCTCCTCCTGCCCCTCCTCCCATCCCTGCCTCTTCCCCACCTCCGCGTGCCCATCTCGGCACACCCCTCACACGCTTCGTGGTAGCAGAAGTAGGGCCCACATGCCAGCGCTCGCATGGCCCGCACGCGGTTCCACCCTCCATTTCGGCACACCCTCACACATTTCGTGGCCCCATGGGGAGCTCCACCTACGGCCCCAGTGGGAGCGCCCGCATGCATTTCCACCTTCATTCCTTCATTCCTGCTCCACACGCTTCATGGGGGACGTGCCATGGACGTGTGTGCGATGGTCCCAAGATGCACCATTCCAACCCCAGGACAAACCATCATCTAGCAGGCAGGCCCGCAACGTATGTTGAACAACCTTGGGATTCAACATGCATGGGCCTGGGACTCACGATCCTCAAGACAGCACGCTCGGAATGCACCTGGGCGATCCTGCCACGCACAACTGTCTGGCCCCATGACGCACGATCCACGAGCCGTAACATTGGAATGCATCTGGGACGGACCTGGGACGTACCACTGTCTGGCCTCAGAGCGCTCCAGAACGCAGCACAACATCCTCGAACCAGCACTCACAAAATGCACTCGGGACGATCATCCTGGGACTCAAACATCTGGCCCCAAGGCGCATCGTCTTCGAGCCGGCACGCACGGAATGCACTTTGAACAGTACTGGCAAGCACCACTCCCTGGCCCTCAGACGCACCACCCTTGAGTCTGCACGCGCGAGATGCGCTCAGGACGCACGATGATCTGGGCATGGGGCGCAACATCCTGGATTGGACACAACCAGTCTAAGTCCTGTCTAAATCCTGTGCGCCCAGGGCCCTCCCTGAAGACCTGACAGGAGGGATTATGTCGTGTCGCTTAAGATTAAACTCCAAGGCGAGTCCTGATTATGTTTGCCAAGGAGTCAGTTGGCATTATCCTAGCGTTGTCACTGCTGGGCCTGGCTGACTCCATTGAAGATCAGGCGGGACCACTGGGACTCCCCGACGCCTCGGCGCGGATCGGCGAAGGCTCTCCCCGGCCTGCTTGCGCCTTCCTGGCGGTCCTGTGCAGAGCGCTGCAGGAGGCGCCGGCTCCAGCGCCGCACCTGTGCGGGGCCAGCTCTCACAGGTTCGCCCTGCAACTCCAACGGCGTGACTGCGGCCGAAGGCGCCGCGAGCGCCTGGGCGGCGTGCGGCTGCGCCGCCTCCTGTTCTCCAGGATGCCCGAAGGTCCAGTACAGCACCAACCGCTCCGTGTCGGCCGGGACGATGCGCTGCAGAGCCGTCGTGGGCGCCCACATGGATGCGCCGTCTCTCACAACGTCCGGGGCGAGCTCCGCCGCCGTCCCGAGGCTCAGGCCGCCTCGCGCATCGGCCGCGCACCGCTTCACCAGCGACAGCTCCACTGGCGCCAAGCGCGGATCCCGAAATCGGAACTGGGCCGCGAGACGCGCAGCGCCAGCGCGGCGGCAAGTGTAGACGACGTCTGCGACCAATGGTGGCAGAATGGCTCCGACGGCTGCCTCCGAGCCGCCCCCGTTCACCTGGGGCTGCGATAATGGTCCTCGTCTTCCGAGTGCCCTCCTACGCGGGCTGCCCGTTCGACGAGGTATCGGTGGTTAGCATGGACAGAGGCGGCGGGCTTCAGTGGAGTATGCGCGACTCGAGGCCGCCTGCAAATTGTAAGTCCCTGGGACCGTGAGCGGCCGTTTGGGGCCATCGTAGGGCTCTTGTGCCCTCCACTGGGATTCAAAAGTTCAAAAGCCTCCGAATGGCCACAAACGATGCTAGAGGCTACAGGTTCCTGTGAGAAGCCCAAGAGGGCAACCCCAAAGGAGAAATGCGAGCGATCTCGACGAAATCAAATTCAGAATCCGCCGATTTCTCCCCCCAAACGGCCTCAAAACTTCCAACACAATGTCACTCTGGGGGAACACTCCGAGAGGTATGCCGTGACACTGGCAAGTTGCTGGATCACTTTAAGCATGCAACGTTTGATGATTTGCCCAGGGTGAGACAAACATCAACACTCCAAACAAGCTCCGAAGAAACGCTCAAACCGCCCATCTCAACTTCCCCAGAGGCCCCCAAACGGCATCCGTCAACTCGGCGCGACCCCTATTAGGGGCTTCTGTTTCCCAAACTACTAGTAGTTGTGAGCAGCGCAAAACAATACAACATGGCTTGGAATCGTTGCTTGGCATCGCTTGGATTCGTTGCTTAGCATTGCTGTTCATTGCTTGGACTAGCTTTGCGATGCTTGGAAGTGATTGGCACTGCTTTGCGTTGCTCGGCGTTGCTTGGCATTGCTTGGCATGGTTTGGCATTGCTTGGCATTTTTGGGCGTTGCTTGGCACTGCTTGGCGTTGGTTGGCACTGCTTGGCATTGCTCGGGCAACCCGGGCAAGGCAATCCCTAGCTCCATCTCAGTCTTCATCTGCAAATTTGCCTCAGTCTCTCGATCTCTGTCTGTCTTTGCCTCTGAGCTTGAAATGTGGCTGGCGCTGAAGCTAGAATGCCGCTCAGAACTAGGATGCGGCTGGCGCTAGGGCGAGACCACGATCCCGGCACTCGTCTGGCAGAGCGACGGCAGCCGCTGGGACACACTGTGGCCAGTCTGGGCAGCAAGCGCTGCTCTCTTGGAAATGTGAAAGAACATCTCATCTCAGCTCGCCTCCAAGAAGGCCTCGGCCACCGCGACCGAGGGGTCCGCCGACACGACTACAAAGTCCTGCAGGCGTGCTGGTCCAGCCCCAATGACGCCAGGGAGTGGAGGAACAATCAACCAGAACACGACCAAACCATCTACATAATTCATGTGGAAAAAATCACGAGCTCACATTCGCCTGCGCCAGTGTTTGCTCTATTATTTGCAGCTCCCTGGCCCGAAACAAGGCAGGACCAGCGCGCTCCTCCAGGGGCATGCGCACCGCACCACTGGCGAGCCTCACCCAGAGCCGCGTGCGGGTCTCCTCGGCCGCGACGACGGCTGGGGCTTCGGGCAACCAGCCTAGCGTCGCCTGTAGGCACAAGGTGTGAGTTTTCACTTATCCCAGCCAAGCCCATCATCCTATGCCCAAGGTCAGACTGCAAGGACTGTTGGCCAAGAGGCCATGGAACTTCCTGCATGCCGACCCGATGCCCGTGGTGGGCTTGGCCAAGATCGGTGTCCGCCCACCGTGTAGGCGGCAGTTCCCGAGCCTGGCCGTCGCACGCCGCGTCCGCCCGACCCTCGGAAGTGCCGACGTCGAAGCCGCGGAGCGCGAGCAACCCGCGCCGCCAGCCGCCCGCGGCGCTCCGCGGGGGCGCGCTCAGCCCAGCGGCATGGGCCAACAGCGCGCCCAGAGCTGCAATGCGTAAGGGAGGCACGGCGGCCGGCAGTCGGCAAGCCGCCGCCGCCGCCCCGCCGCGCATGGACTCAGGCGGGCCGGGGCATGTCGTGTTTCCTCGCGCCGCGCCGGAGGTAGAGTGGCTGCGCGCGAAAGGGAACAGATGGTGGGCTAGTGCCTTGCGCATTGCCGCAAGAATCTTCCATGTGGGTTGCTTCCACTTAGCGAGAAAACATACATTGGGAACACCGACGATCCACCACCATTACTCTGGGCACGCTGGGAATGTAGAATGCTGGTCAACTGTCTGGTTCGGTTCCCTAGCTTTTAAGCTCCCCCTCGCCGCAGACTTGGATCGAAACCCGCTCCCTTAAGATGAGCCGAAGCCGCGCCAGAAAAGCCCCCCAACGGCATCGAGACATTTGCAATGCATACTTTTACGCCCGAGGTTGACTGCCACGGTTTACACGGCGCACCCAGGAACCCTCAACACTCACTCCGAAATTTTCAACGTCGCATTGCTCGGATGTCCTTTGGTGCTAGAGAACCGACCCGACCAGCTGGACGTTGCCGCGAAGCAGCCCTTCTGACCACGGCGGCCTGGCAATGAGAGGAGGGGGCGGCGGCGTTTCGCCGCATGCGTCCTCGATGCGCCCAATGCGCGCTAAAATATGCACCACGCCAAGCCCTAGAAACGCAAACCAACTACCTATAAGACCACCCTTCGAGTGATGTAGATATCTTGGGGGAGGGGTGTAGCTTTCAGGTTGCGATGGCCTCGCGCCGGGTGGTTCTACCGATCCAACGAACGACTTGACACATACATCAACAGCTACTTACATTTGAAACACATGGCCAATCGCCCATGCGTTTATGCGTACTTGTCTTGTTATACATGCGCACGGCTATAAGACTGAGACGCCGCCACAGAGCCGTATACTCTGAGTCTACGGGCTACGGGGCCAAGTTCTGGATTCCCAAATGTATCTGGCGCTCTCGGGCGTTTCCGGGCACTCCTAGGTTGCGCCGCGCGACTTTTCTAGAAGCCTCGAGGGCGTGGTTGGGATTCAACACCTCCCACGTGCCCTGAAATAACCCCAACCATATGCAGTTTTGCGTGCCGCGCTTGTGAATGTCGTCTTCACTGGCGCTCCGTGTGGGGCCTTCGCCAAGATAGCCCTCAAAACGCACAGGAACGAACCCTGCCACTGGGGTCTTAGGTGGAGCTTTCTATGGGGCCACGAAGCGTGTCACAGGTGTGCCGAAATGGGCCTGGGCACGCATGTGACCTGCGCCACTTGGACCTTCGGTGGAGGTTTCTATGAGGCCACGACAGGTGCGATGAGTGTGCCAACATGTGGGGGGCCGCGTGCGAACCCCCCCTGAGGGTTTCGGTGGATCTCCCTGCGGGGCCACGAAATTTTTGAGGGATGTGCCGACACGGGCGGGAAAACCGTAAGCGAATTCCCCCTCCTGGGGGTTTCGGTGGAGCTCCCTGCGGGGCCGCGAAACGTGTGAGGGGCGTGCCCGCGGGGGCACGAACCGCATGCGAAACCGCCCTCCTGTGGGTTTCGGCGGAGTTCCCCGTGTGATCACGACATCTGGCGCTTGTGCACGCTAAAACTGATGACCCCCGAGAACCTCGCACAATCGCGAGGGGGGGAGGAGGGGGGCGCACTTTTCCAGCGCGGCGAAAAGCAAAGGCCCAACCTTTGGCCAGCCGCCCGCCCGCTCAGCGCCGGGTACAGACACGCAGGGTGGGAGGGAGGGAAAAACACTCCAGCTCCAGTCCAGATGGCTGCGGGAGGGAGAGGAAAGAGAGGGCGCGCAGACCGCGCTCGGAGAGATAATCCATCCCTTTCAAAAGGAACTTTTGCATGGATATTAGATTTCCCTGCAGTGTGTTCTGATGTGGTCTCATGATCCCCCGAAGGTAGGTTTCGGGGGGAACGCTCAGGGGGCTCCAGCGAGGCCATGGAGGGGATGGTCGATTCCGTTAAGCGGATAAGAGAAGTAGGTTTGTGGTAGTGGAGGCCGGCCGGCCGACGACACGACGACGACGAGGGGGGCGTCCTCGGCGCGCGCGCGCGGCGGCGCGCTCCTATATTCTGATCTCTCAAAGAGGTAAGTGCAGATGGCCAGCGTATGTATGATGACTAGAAGCGGCAGCGGCGGGATGAGGGTGCGGAGAGGAGCATATTAATTCCCCCGCGGCGGGATGCGTTGGCCTGCGTCGACCTACACCCACTCGGCCTGCAATCCTCGGAAGCCAACCCCAAAAGACAGATTTTACGGCTCAGCCGAGGCACCGAGGGGCGATGGGCCGAATCAGCTCGACGCGCCCCCCCTTGCTACATCTGCGCGTCAGCTCAGATCTTGAAGATCTTCTCCGCCTGTCCCCACGCACATTGCACCGGCGAAGCCGAGCGGTGTTGGCTCGTAAAGGCATGGCCGTGCCAGAACATCTGCGTTCGTTCATCTCCACCAGCAATCGCCTCGCCATTGCTGATGGTTCCAGTCGCGGTTCCACTGCCAACTCCGCTGGGCTTCATCATAAGGGTATTGTCCTTTGTGGTTTTTGTCTTTTCCCGTGCCCTTGTCAATGCCCTTGTCCTTGTTCTTGTCCTTGCCTTTGCCGGCCGCCTTTGCCTTCGGCATCGCGTCGGGGTTGCATTGTTTTGCATTGTTTTTTGACGGGGTTGCCGTCGGCCAGCTAGGCGGGGGCGCGGGGGTGTTTAATCATGAGAAATAAGGATGCGCGCGCGGGGTGGGGTGGGGTGGGGGGGGGGGGGGCGCGGGAAGGGGCGGGGGGGGTCGGCGACCGCGGCGCGCGACCGCGACGACGCCGAAACCGCGCGACGTTGCGGCCTCGAGGAAATGAAATGATGATGACGAAGGCGGCGACGGCGATGATGTCGAGGGGCGGCCTCGGGGGCCGCAGCGGCGACGGCGGCGACGATGGGGGGGGGGGTGGGGGGGGCGCGTTGAAGCGCAGCGGCGCCGCGGCGCCCAGGTCGGAGAGAGGGGGGGGAAGGGGGCTGCCAGGGCGAGGGGGGGGGGGAGAGGAGGAGGAGGGGGGAGGAGAGGAGGGGGGGGGGGGCGCGGAGGAGGGGGGGGGGATGAGGATGAGCCGGCGAACGCAACGCCCAAAACGACATGGCGCTGCGGCGCCGAAGAAACAGCAATGCACGCTTGCGCTGCGGCGCCAGCTTCAGGGCGAAGCGATGTTTTCAGCCGGCAAGCGCGCCCCGCCGCAGCTGCGCCCGCATCGGGCGCGACGCCCGAATATCGCCCCCCTCGCGCGGCGCCCGCGCGAGCGAGCGCGCGATGGGCGAAGTGCGCGCCCGATGGGCGTCCTCGGAGCTGCCCGTCGCATGCGTTGATTCTGTTGGGATCAAGCGAACTTTGAAGCCGCGGGGCTGCCGGAAGCTCGCGCCATGGCATGGGCCATCTCGAGTTAATCAGCTGCGCCCCAGCACCTCGGCAACCGCGTGCTCGCCCCTGCATCCATCAAAGGAGCGCGGCCGCCGTGCTTCGCGCCATGGTTTCGGCGCCGCGCTGCAGCGGATGCAACGAACTCTGCTGCTCCGAACTGCTTCGCCAGCTCGAGCGCCATTGCGCTATTGGCCGTGGGGTGGTTAACCAAGAAATCGGTCTTGAAGGCGTCGCCGTATCTGAGCTGCCGCAGGTGCCCCTGGGTGGCGCTCTACAAGACATTGGCCTCCCAGCCGCTGGAGGCTGCAGCCCCGACCTGAAGTGCATTGGCAAAACGCTTGCTGCCCTTGTGCTTGCGCTCCAGTACCCAGCGCGACGGCCAGGCCGCGTGCCCCCAGCGTTTCACATAGTTTGAATAATGGCGCAGGTAGTGAAACTGCTGGGGCATCGTGGTTTTGCCGGACACCGCATGACAATACATCAAGAACTTATGAACAACATCGCTCAACTCATCCGCGTCTGCGTGTCGCCTGGATACCAGTAGGATCTCTTCCACGACGATCGCGCGCGCTTCGAACGCTGCGCGGGCCGACCGCGCTGGCGCTGCAGCGCCGCGGGCAACATCCCTGAAACAACGCGTCGATCCGCACGCGCGGAAACACGTTCGCACAGAAACGCCGCCCCGCATCCTCTCAGATATACGCATACAATTTCTTCAACACTGCAGCGCATGCATTGCTAGGCAGGCGGAGGTGCGAAGCATACGACGACACCTGCATGGTTGTGCGGCCCTCGCTGGCGGCGCACATGCAGAGATTGCCGCCCGCGTGGGGCCTCGCGCGCCCCCCCCAAATATCGCGCGCGCGTTGGGGGCGACGGGCGCGCCGTCGGCGCATCCCCGCGCGCGCCCGTGCTTCTTCAGCGCCCGAAGCATCTGCATAACCAGAACGTTAGATGCACAGTTCACGAGGATGCAATGCACCCAATCGAACATGGCTGTCTCGAGCGGCCTGGGCTTGTGAACCCGCCCGAGCAATTTCGGGCCCCAATTCGAACCGAGGCGGCGCTGCAGTTCCACGGTCTCGCCTGGGTTCACGACGTCGGCTCCGTCGCGCAACCTGTTGCAGACTGCGTCGAACAATGGCGCCGTCATCGGCTGCAACCGGGGCGCGTTCGGTTCCCGGTGGTGAACCGCGACTCCCGTTGTATCAGATGCCACTATGCCTCGGACCTCGCCCTTCAGGGAAACGCTGCGGCGCGTCAAACACGGTTTGAGTCCTGATGGCCCCTTGCATCCGATCAAACGGTGGGTTGCGTCCTCGCCCGCGACCTTGCAGCGTCGCTGCAAGGACGCACCAGGCGTAATAACATGACGCATGCGTATACATACATATATATATACACATATATATATAGACACGCATATATATATGTATGTATGTATGTATGTATGTATATATATATATAGATGCTGCATAGTCTTGCGCGGGGCGGCGGGGCATCCGCTGCGCGCGCGTGCCAAGGTCAATGTGCACCCTCTTGTCGTTGGGGCGCAACTGCAGGCTGATGCTCGCGCTGAAGTAGCGCCCTTGGCCAGGCCAGACCCGCGCGAGGATTGCGCCCATCGCCGCGGGCAGCCCGCGCGGCTCGATGGCGCTCGCGTTCCCGCCCCCCGTCGTCGCGAGCTGGAACCGCGTGTCCCGCGAACGAGTCGCGCTACAATTGGCGCTGCAACGCCGCCGCATTCGAGCCCGACAGCCACCGCGCC